CAAAGAAGGTCTGTTCTGAGCTTTATAAAGTATCAAAAGTTGCTGAGGTGTGTTTTCGGAACAATGTTCCAAGATCTTGAGAAGCAGCGTTTGCATATCCAGCGATATGATTGTGCCAAGACATATTGGTGTCCATTTTAACCCTCAGCAAACTTATCTAAGCAGAAAGCGGAATTGTCTGTCTTGACATATCCGGTTCGGAAACATTTATCTTTTTAGAGAAAACCGATGCCTGGGTTTTTGTGGCATTGAATTGAACCTGGTTACTTTCACTCCAATTCAATGTTACTTCTAGATCCTCATTAAGATATTCAACTTCCTGCTGCCGGTGAAAATATGCATTCGTAGTCGATGTCCTGGAATCCAAATTTGATTACGAGACAAGTGTGCTGTCGCCAGCAATACAAAATATTGGATTTTTGGTTTTATCCAATAAGTTCATATACAATAAATGGAGGGTTGGAGACAATATAGATCTCTGGAGACAGAGTTGGTAGGATACTTTATATGTATTCGAAAGCTGTATTCGGATATTTTTCAAATTTTGTATTCAGTATCCAAATTTGTAAGTATCCGAATACCGAATACTTTTTTATATCTTCGGATACTTTAAAATTATTTGATGAATGGGAACCAGACCAAACAGTCCCATTTTATGCAGGCGTATCTTGTCGCATTTTGTCGGGCATCTTCGAAAACGGTGAGATATAATTTTAGCACTTTGCCACCTCGAAAAATGAGTTATTAGAGTGCCTCATATACCAAAAATGTGCAGTAGATTCCCACTTGGGGCTTGTTTTCTTCCATTTACGGGGTTGGAACACCCAAACTCGAAGTTCAGCATCCTCGAAAACGGGGTGAGGTAAGGCGGTAAAATCTCACCTCACTAAAAAATACCAAGTACCAATCAATCTCGTTGAATCTGAATCTATGTCGTATGTGCGTGGCCATTTCAGAACTCCCATATCAATTATCATATCAATCCATTCCTTATAAGGAATCCTGATAAAATTCATTTCATTTGTGAAAATTTTTTTGTATCCATTTTTTAATAACTTTGTATAATTGAAAATAAAATATTCGTTAGATATTAACGTTAGATTTGTTAGAAGGTGAAGACAGTCTATCTTTTTGATACTTGTTGCCCAGTCTAATTTCTTTAATTGACAAGTATGAAAAACTCATTGCCCAAACCCAAAATAAATTGAAATATGGAGGAGAACATTTAGCAAAAATGTGCATGAAAACGTTAAATACTCGTTTTGATAAAATTTTGAATTTGGAATGGGAAGATCCAATTATAGCAGCAGTTCTGCTTCCCAAATTTAAATTAAAGTGGTATGACATTGTGAAAAATAAAAAAAATCTTTGGAAGATATTAACAAATGTATAATAAATGGTGCAAAAAACCAGATGGAATATGAATCTTACAAAGAATCAGATGAAAGCGGGGACCAAAAGGTGGACGACTCTTTTGATTTCACGGATTCTCAAGATAACCAAGAAGTAGGCACTGTAGGCAGTAGTAGTATTATGAACGAACAGGGTACTGAGGGTACCAGTGAAAGTAGCAATAAAACTACAAAAATTCAGCTGGAATTATTAAGATATCTGGAAGACAAAAGAACGAATTTACAAGTATTACATGAATACCCAATATTAAAAAAAGTGTCACTCAAGTATATGATTACCTTCGTCAGCACCAGTAGAAAGACTTTTCTCTTTTGCAACTATGATTGATACGCCAAAAAGAAAAAAAATTAGTGATGAATACTTTGAGGTATTGGTACTGACGAAGGCAAATTCAAACCCAAAGGTACTATTATAGATATAAATGTCACATCTAGCGAACAATGTGGTAAAAGCTAAAAATATATTTTTTTCACTGAAATGTTCTTTGTTTAAAAAATAAATAAAAACATTTTTTCGAGTTTCTTTTATTTCCTTTCTTTTTTTATAATTTTTTGTTTTTGATATTCATCCATAGTATTTTTACTTGTATACATTAAAATACTATTTTAACTAACTCTAAAAGTATCCGTAAAAGTATCCGACAAAAGTATCCGAATACTTGTATCCGAGTACATTTTTAGGTGAAAGTATCTGTTATTTTTTAAAAAGTATCCGGATACATTGAAAGTATCCGTATCCGGTATTCGGATCCTTTTTTCCTATATCCGACCCAACTCTGCCTGGGGAACACCAGCGTTGATGGTGAAAGTATTCGAGAGATATCCATCGACAGCCACTTGCAGGGAACATTCTTTCAGGAAGCTGAAGAGTCATACACAAAAATGATCCGACAAGCCACAGCATCGAAGTTTGGCCAGCAAACCCTCCTGCCACACACGGTCAAAGGTCTTAGAAATATCAAGTGCAGCAGCTCTTGACTCTCCATGTTTCTTGATAGCGTTATTCCCATAAAGGGTGACATACGATAGAAGGTAGCCTGTGAATCTTTGTTTCCGAAAACCATACTGACGTTGAAGCCTCTCAAATATATACAGCTTTCTCCATGATTTTTGATATCACCGATAGCAAAGCGACTGTCCTATAGTTATTTGGAAAAGTTTTCTTGCCCTTTTTGGAAATAGGCTGAACGCGAGCAATCTTCGAACAAGAAGGAAAAGCCCTTGTAAGGCAGGTTGAAAAGCCTGCAAAGTCTGTAGAAGTCAATTATTTGACAACTTTTGATGAATTCGACGTAATATTCTGCCTGAGTGAGTGAGTCAGCCACCTTATTCGGAACGATGGGTAAGACGACGAATTTGCAAAGACATAATAACTGCCAAATAAATTTTGGCATTATATGTAAACCAATTGAAAATATGCAAATAAAACAGTACGCAACATCGATACGTTAGGAATGCCAAAATTGGTAACAAAGCACTTTTAGGGCCGCATTATGTTTGCAATGCTGAAGATGCCGACAGTAAATGCTTTTGGCAGGTGCACTTGGTCTCTGAATAAACCCACTTGACCCGAGGAAAGCAAAAGTGAGGTTCTGCTAAGCCGAATAAGCCAAGGTCCTCAAAAATTGTAAAGGGGATCTTGTGCATCAGTTCATCCCTATGGAACTGTAGAAGTAAATTTATCTCCCCGGTTTTTATGCGAGCTTTTTTCTGAACAGGTTTCATCTCGGTGACAGATCACCTAGTTCAGAGTTAAAAACTAAACCAATATCATTGACCGTTTCTGCAGCTGCCTTGAAGAAAAAAGCTTCGACTTCTACTTATTCATGGTCAGGAGAGGATCCGAAATCCAGACGATTTTTCAGGCTCCAGCCCAATCCATCCTGTTTTGTGAATTAACTCGAAAGTCTACAGCCTCTCAGTTGTCGATGAATGTAATAACTATGTACGAATGTGGCTGTTCTGAGTTATTGTATACAGAAATACGAGTACATAATTCAGTGGAATTGAGTGGTACTTGGAAGTGAATAGATTTAGAAATTCATGTTGTGAATCATCATTTTCTGATAAGTCCTATAATACACATACACAATGAATGAGGAGTGCATATAATTGTGTTTGTGCGTTTGTGTGCGCTAATCTCCAAAACGGCTTAACCGATTTGGATTTATTCTTTCACTACTGTATTGTGGAAAGCTTATAACAATTTAAATAATCACGTCAAGCATTTGTTTGAAAAATGTTGAACGAATGAACTTCCATGCAACAGTTTGTTTTCCCGCGTTTTATAACGAGCTAATTGAATCATAGGCACACTTTTCATATTCGAACTTACCCCTCAGAAATGCCTATTCCAGTAATAATGAGTGTTATTTTAATTTTGTAAAAGCGGTAAACACAAAAATAATTTTATTGAATAACACGTTGAAAGGTAAGACATCGTTAGTCCTCAGCTCGCACAAGTTTCGACTTCTGACGGTTGTTGTTCGTAGAGGTGTGACAACTGGTTGACGGAAAAACATATTTTAAACATATATTTCAAAAAACAATTCATGATTCACTATTGATTTTTTAATTATCAATGATCATGTCATCGAAATATTGGATTTCTACTTCCGTTGGTTAACAGTCTGCTTCACAAGTAGTATTTAATCAAAAACTCCAAAACCAAACATCATGATCAATATCATTGGATTCGAAATGACAACTTGATATTTTAAGGAATCTTTGACAAAGTAATGGCAAAAATTGCAAAATGTATAAACAAATAAGCTAAAAATCTGTCTGGTAATATATGTGTTTCCGTTAACCAGCTGTTAAGAGTTTGTTAGTGTCTTTTTCTGTTTTCTATTTACCTGTTATTTGTTTATTATACAAGGTGTCCCTGGACTTCCTCTTTTCCTCTCGGGAATGTATAGATGGGATCAAAATATCACCAGTACTTCATATAACTTTTTTTCCTAAAAGTCTTCGTAACCAAGTTACGGGCCCTCGAAGTTACAAAATGAAAAATGTTTTTCTTAATTCATAGTACTTCCATGTAAAATTTAATATTATATTAGATAATGGAATTCTGAACTAATGAAATTCAACTGGACTATAATTTACGGTTTTGGAGATCAGGTTTTTTTATAAAATGACACTTGTACACTTAACGAATTTAGCCTATTATCACAGAGTATGGCTTGTACTAAGAATGTAGAAATAATTGATTGTGTTTCGAAATAAACCTTTTTATATTTAGATAATTATTCCCGTTACATTCTTAATATTGTAAAAAATATATAAGCCGGCACTTTCATTCACTGCCATATCATACTATATTACACCGACCGACTGTTATTATGTGAAAATCTCACGATAATATGTTGTCAATATGTTTTAAATCCCTCTTTTGGAACCCTTTAACATATCCAGAACTTTCTAAAATATCTAAAATGTTTTTTATCTTAAAAATCAATATGTACCTATTACAAAAATATTTGTGGTAGGAATAACAAAAAAGTTTCATGAGCTTTTTTAACAAGATTCAAGAAATTCTGTTATTCAAGACAAGACACCGAAACAGCTAATTACCGTTGAACTTACCTTGCTTCAAACTCATTGGACGTCACAGGCTGTGTCTTATATCGATCGCTACTTCTTTTCAAACTACTCCTTTTTGGAATGGCTCCGGTAGAGCTAGAACTTTCAAACGAAAGTACCAAGTCATGCACAGATAAAGGCCTAGGCTTAGTCATAAGCCTATCCTCTTCTCTGGATATTGAGTTCGAAGAGCCAATATTGAAATCAGTACAAATGGTATGCGAACGTCTTGAAGTCCTGTTTCTCACGACTTCTTCCTGAATGTCAGTATCTTCGCTACAAAAGGATAGTCTTGGTCTGGGAGATTCTTCTCTCGATGTTTGCTTTAGTATGGGCCTAACTTCGCATTCAGTCTCGCTCGAAGTAGTATGCTTTAAGAATGGGTTGTCTATACTACCTTCTGAAAATTCTCTCTCGGCAGTTTTCGGTAACTTGAGTATAGGTTTAGGTTTTTCTTCAGAATCCTCAGTATCCGTGCTCGATTTCTTCTTGAGAATTGGTTTGGGAACGTCTGTGGGAGCATCGCTATGATACGTATGCTCTTCGGAGAAGCTTCTTTTTTTCAGGATTGGTTTCACAGGTTCCGGTTCTGGATCCAAAACCATTTCAGCACCTCCTGCAGCTGCAAGAATGACGGCAGTTGTGATAGAAACATGTGGGCTGCTACCGGTGGAGCCAGCACTACTAGCACCAGACCTTCTCTTCAGAATGCTTTGTGGGGAATTCAAAGAATGATCCTCGTCCTCAGTTCGAGACGATTTTCTCTTCAGAATGCTGTGGAGATGAATTTCCGGAGACTGGGTTCTTCTTAGCTCCTCCAAAGAAGATCTCCGCTGGTTCTTCAAAATTGATCGAGAATCTTTCTTATGAGCTACGTCAGGACTACAGCTACGATGTCTCATAACCGTGGATTCATCGAGGCTCCTGCGTTTCTTTAAAATACCCTGTTTACGTTTGGTAGTCGATGGTTCTACTACGCTAGGAGAGAATGTAACTGGAGGAGTGCTGGTGGAAGAGTGAACAATGCCTTCGTGCTTGCTGTGATCGTCTTGGGAAACTTTTCTCTTCAAAATAGAAACAGGCCCAGACAGAGCAAGTGGTGGTATGGATTCCACGATGATGGAAGGAGGTTCCTCTACGGTTGATTTTTTCTTGAGAATTGACGATGGTGGTGCCTTTTCGGGGAATATAGGTTTCCTTCTTTCTTTGCCAGTTCTGTGATCGGGTTGTTTGCTGGGACTAGAAGTCACTGGTCGTCGAACATCTTTCTTGGGGGATTCTCTACTCTTGCTGGTTAATCTCTCCACTCGTGCTAAGGTCTGCTTAGTAAGGGCAGAAAGTTCTTCCATTCTATTAGCTATTCCTTTATTTTTATCGTCATCTGACACAGTGGATCGACTTTCTTTGGTAGCGTTAGTAGTTTTTGAGAAGAAGCTACCCTGGCTACTGTCAACGTATCTAGGAGAGGAAGGTTTTGGACTCGATGTAACGGCCCGTTTTGCGAAAGGCTTATACTTTCCCATTTCGGAAAATGCCGGTGTAATCCCTCGCCGAGCATTTTCCATGTGCAAGCTTAGTTCCGATTTTCGGGGGGTAGTTTTCGGAGATGGAGAAGAGGCAGTGACTGATAAGACGGGAGAAGTAGATTGTATAGAGGCAGTGATATTTGCGATGGTTGGATCATTCTCATTGCTGGATTCTTTGATTGATAGATCTAAAATTTCTGGTGGAAAAAAACGTCGTCGGCGCCGGCGATTCTTCAAATCATCTGAAAAAAAAGGAATTGGTATTTCAATACATTTCTAAAATAGTTTCAGGAAAATACCTAAAGTCAACTATTAGCTGGAAATTTGAACACAAAAGGGTTTCTTTTTTCTACACCTGCATAAAGTTCTTCATTGCTAATTTTAATTTTTTTAGATCGTGAATGGTCAATAGAAGCTAATTAATTTTTAGACATTTTTGAGTTAAAAATTCCATTGCTCAACGTATAAAAAATCCTCCTGATTTTTTTATTCGATCGAAAATGATTCCTTAAAAATAATTTCAATGAACGTGACTCGCAGAGTTTTTGAGAAAAAAAACAAATGACAAATGAATATTTGATAAGATAATGTCTATTGAAAAAAGCTAAATCATGCTGAAATTAGTAAGTAAAAAACTAATAAAATGTTTCGTTTCCCTCCGTATATTTCATTCAAGCCAGTTCCTATTTCATAAGTTATTAAATGAGTATCAAATTTCTAAATCCATACTTTTTTCTGATTATAAAATAGATATAGATATAATTCGCAATTGAATATTAGCAAACTAACGTGAGAGGTTATCAAAATACTATATCTCGGTTGTTTTGTCTTCATATGTGCGGTTCACAGAAAAAAGTCTCTCTAGTGATCGAATATTCTGTTGTACAATCGCAAGGGTTCCAGAGTCAACAAAAGCAAAAAGAAAAGATGTTGGATTTTATATCGTGTAATATTATAGATGAAAGAGCGATTCCCTGCTAGGGCGGTCGTCATGGTAGCAGACTGGAAGGGTAAATGAACAAAACAGGTGAGCAATTTTTTGCATGAATGATGGCAATAAGAAAAACTGCCATGACGAGGTAGTTCGTTCGGCATCAGGGGAGTAAAGCGAAGTTGGGCTGAAGGGAGTTGTTGAAAATTGTTCGTATTTCAAAAATGATTCCACAAAATTTAACTTCTGGGAAATGTATGTCCATAGAAAATACATGAATAGTGAAGTACTGCGAACAATAAAATACTATCATTATAATAATAATAATAATCCCCAAAAGCGGAGATTTGTCGATTCCTAAGAATTACAGACCGATAACATGCTTGAATTCGTGTTATAAGTTGTTTACAAGCATCTTATACACACAAATACTCACCGCAGTGGACCGAGTGTTCGAACGGATATATGAGCAGAGAGGGTCGAAGAGAGGAGTCGCTGGATGTAAAGAGAACCTGCTCATCGATAGATGTGTAACGCAGGACTCGATACAATATAAGCGTAACCTCTCTATGGCCTGGATCGATTACCGTAAGGCATTTGATACAATTTCGCATGAGCTCATCTTGCATTTGCTCAGATGCCTTGCGGTACCCGACAACATAGTGAGATGCATTGAACAACTGA